AGTCCCAGGGCTCAGGCCCAACTCAGTTTCCAGAAGGTGCCTCCTGTCCGGCCCAAGTCTGGGCATCCAGTTCCCCAGGCCTGGCCCGCACTGTGTTTGCGTGGACTCCCTTCCAGGGGCCGAGGAACGGCCCTGCCGAGAGGGCCCCAAACCACCCCCACGCCCGCTTGCTTCCTGGGCAAGAAGCGTGCTTTCCTGATGAACACGAATACTCGCCGTGGTGGCTCTCGGAGAACAAACCAGCAGAGGCCTGGACGGTGCGGCCGACGCGGAAGCTTCCGTTCTGGAAGTTTCCGCTTCGTTATGATTCCGTGAATCCCCTCTTCTCCAGACACTGGGAAAAGAATCCGTGCTTCTGTTTCAAAACCAAGCGTTTTCTCGTAGTCCACACCTGGGCTCCTGACGGCCCTGAAATCGCCATCTCCACGGAGCCACGCGAGCACCGAGGTCAGGTTCGGGGGGCGCTCACGTGGGCCCATCACCACGGGAACCGTCTGCTGCACCAGGCCTCCAGAGGGTAAGGCAGATAGAGCTTGTCTTCCTAAATTAAAAATGCACCCGCCTTTTGACTTAGCAGTTACCTATCTAGGAATTTACGTTACAGAGATACGTCCCCAGTGATGCACGTAAGCCACTGCAGCGTTAAGTCCAGCAGCAAAAGAACGGCACACTGCTTCATGGCATTTAAATAAATGACGTTATGGTCACGCCGTGGGTTACGATGCAGCTGAAAGCGGCAGCCCCAGGGTGTACTGAGGAACAAAGGAGGCAAGTCCGTCTCTGCAACGCAGGCCCGCTGCGTGTGCCGTGTGATGAGCGGGGCATCTCCGGGGGCCCCCCGGGAGGTCGGTGGTGGCTGCGATGGAGTGGAGAGGAGGAATCTCAATTCTTACCCGCCACGCTTCCACACTGTTTGAATTTTGTTTGCTGGAAGCACGCATTCACACAATAAATGTAAGGAAGGATTAGGAAGGTGGGTGTCCATGTCAAGTCTGGTCAGACCTGTCACACAGCCTCGATTTGCTCCTGTAGGAAGATCAGATCAGAAGTTCCGGAATAGCTCCAACTCGGGCCTGCGGAAGCATGTCCTGTGCCCGCTCTCCTCTGGGGCTCCTGTCAGCAGAGGCCCTGCTGGGACAACCGGTGTCAGGTAAGGCCTGGACAACTGAGGGAGCCACCCCAGCTCCAGGGCTGCTCTTGCTGCTGACGTGCCACGCGTGTGGGCCAGCCACAGGCTCTGGGAGCTCACTCACGGCTTCCGTGATGTGCAGGGCGACGGGGAGCTCACTCCCACCCCACTCAGGACACAGACAGAACAAAGACGGAGGAACTCCTGACGCCACCACAGGGCTGCAAAGACAAGTCCATTTTCACGGGGCCTCCTGCAAGGTGACCCAAGAGGCCCCCTCATTCCCGATGGCTCTTGTTTAGAAAAGCTTTGTCCAGTAGAACCTTCTGTGCTGATGGAGATGGTCTTCATCTGCACTGTCCAAACGGGTAGCCACTGGCCCTGTGGAACTACTGAGACCTTGAGTGCGGTTTTCACTCTGACTTTTGACTGATTTGAATGTTAACTGGCCCCACGTGACCAGCAGCTCCCGTACTGGTCAGCGCAGCCCCAGAACCTAGCTCTCTGGTGCCAACGGTTAAACCTCGTGGCGCTGGACCCTCCCCTGCCCAAGCCCGGGTCCCCTCCCCCAAGCTCCCTTCCCGGCCTGCTCCACACCAGCGACACAGACCCCCTTCAACCATCTCCCTCATATCTGCGGCATGATCATCAGGACACCTCACCCCCCAAGGCATTCACACCTCCAGGCCCCTGAGTTTCTGGATGCCCAGGGCCAGCCAGCCAGTGGGGATCTGTCCACAGTTCCCTCGAGGGTGTACCCGCGGCCCTGAAGAAATGGAGTGGGCGGCCCCCAAACCGACTGTGTCCCGGCTGGCAGGCAAGGAGGTCAAGGGCAGGCAGCCAGGGGTCAAGGGAGGAGCACGGAACACGAGGTGTAACTAAGTGAAGGGAACGCGGCCTGCTTCTCACTGGGCAACGCGGCCACAGGGGCCAAAAGCTCGATGTGAGTCAGATGAACTGGACCCCAAGCACCACAAACAAGCTGTGACTGCAAGGGCAGTGTGAGCCGGTTCCATGAGCCACGGGAAAAGCCGAGCCGCCTGTCCACACCCGTCCTCGTACCCTCAACCACCATGGCTGTGGCAGACATGGCTCAGCGGGCAATGCGGGGCAAGTCAGAGCGACAGGCTCACTCTGCCCTCGGGAAGCGGTCCTTCACAGGCGCAGCTGCAAAGCTGCTCGAAGCCAAGCCCTTACAGAAAGAGCCCACCTCCCTTTCCTGCCCCCACCCCCAGCAGACTCGGGGCCCTGACTGTCGCTGCAACAGCACCAGCATCTCCGGGGAGCTGCTTAGAAACGCAGCACCTCGGGCCCCGCTGGGAACCACTGAGTCTTTATCTTAACCAGACCCTGCACGTCAAAGCCGGAGAAGCCCTGCCCTGGGGGAATCTCCACGGAGACGGTGGGGGGGTGGTGGTGAGGGGGATGGGGGGTGGGAGGGCAGCGGCGGACAGGGGCCTGCATCCACTTCGAGGGTCCACCAACTGTGGGAAAACGGGGGAAAGCACACGGGGCACGTCCAGGAAAATGAAAAACCGCAAGTGTATCCCCCACGTTTCCGACTCTTCAGAGTTGAAGACTGAAGCAATTAACCGCTCAGGTGTCACATCACCCGCAGGCCACCCGGTGTGGCTGCGCTCTCTTTGCGGCCTGTCCGCGTGCTACGTGGCTGGCCGTGTGGCCCAGCGCCCCGCCCTTCGTGATTTTCTCCCTGCAACCTTGGAGTCACAGCCCCCTGCCACATGAGTTGATCAGTACTAATTTCGGCCATCTGTCCTATTTTCTTGGGTTTGATTTCCTTTTATGTTAAGTCCAATATGATACACACCTGACATTTTCACAGGGACTAAGCAGACCCTTCCAAACCTTAAACATCCTGCCTAGGATCACTGCCTTGACCTGTCCCCTCCCCGCCCTGAAGCGCAGGTGAGATGCAGTCTAGTTAGGACCACTCTCTTCCCTGAGCTGCTGGCCTCAGTCCAGCACCCTACTGTAATTACAATAGTTTGGGACTGTGTTCACACATCAGACAGAACCGGCCTTCCAATAGCCACTTAAAAGTCTATTCAGTATTCTTATTCTTCCCTCCAGAGGGGACTTTTAAGCCCACTTTTAAGCTCCACTGAAATTTTGGCAGGAAGAATAGTGAACTACTAAGTTAACTTGGGAGTGACTATCATTTCATCTGCAATATTTAGTCTTTCTTATCCTGAACCATGGTATTTTTTCTGTTCAAATTTCCTCTTATACCACCTCAGGCGAGCTGCTCTGTGGGTTCACACAGGTCGTTAAGTTAGGTCTTCCTCCCAACAAGGTTCTTTATTACCTGCAAATTAGGACAATTTTGCCTTCCTTTCTAATATTATCATGTTTCTGTTTCATACCTTACTTCAATGGCCAAAGCCCTACACAGTAACGATGACCACAGGAAGCTCTAGAACACACCTGATGCGCGAGAAGCCAAAGAACAGGCGGCTCTCACCTGCATCCCCATCTTCTGCCTCGAATGCCCTCCTCCCAGGGTCAAGTGGAGCATCACCGTGAAGACAGGGCAGCGTGCTCTCCCTCCGCCACAGAGTCAGGGCTGAGGCTGAGCACCTGGGTTTTCAAAGGGCCTGAGAGGCTGACATGGCCTGTGGGGCAAGGTGGGCCAGTCCCTGACCCTCACATGGGACGAGTGTTGCCTGAGTAAATGTCCCCCCAAAAGTTGGGGCGGAGGAAACAGCAAAGCGGATACAGCTTCACAGAGGGGAAAAAACGTAGGGCCCTGCCTACCTGGCACAGATCCAAACGTTTCAAAGCCCCTAATGTACCTCACCAAGACAAATGCAATTAATTTTCCAAATCAACTAATGGCTAATCTAAGAAAGAAAGAAATCTAGAGAGAAAGAGAAGAAAAGAGAGAGAGAGAAAGGGAGGGAGGGAGGAAGAAAACATCAGACTACTGTATCAAGTGAGTGATGAATATGAAACAGGAACTCACGGGCCCAATTTCTACAGTAATCCGTACTAAAAAGATAATGGAAATTCATGTTCTACATTATCTAATATATGTATCTGATACATAATATCTATTTTAATGTTCTATTAATGCCCCATTACATGACGGGGGTGGGGGGGTAGCGAAGAGGGAAAACTGGGAGGCAGGGGTGTGGATGCCACTGTTTCTCAGAAACGTCATCCTACTGCTATTCATGCAACAAACATCTAGAAAAGAACAAAGCTATGCTAAAGCAGCAGGTGAGGTAAGAACGCAGAACAGGCTGACAGAACGCAGCCAGACGTCTGAGAAAGACTGCAAGACACGGAACTGTCCTAGACTGGGTGGTGGATGGAGTCACTGCTCCTAATTCCTCACCCCTCCTCAACTCACACCTTTTCTCAGGTCACTCCGCAGTCCCTCCCACTGGGGACAGTAGACTTCCTGCCCCTTGACTCAGGCTCAGTCTCATAGCCTGCTCTAGCCAACAGGATGCTAGTTTGAGCAGTGCCCTTTCACAGCTCTGCCACAACCGTGGGAGGGCCTCTGCCCTCGAGAGTCACTGACGCCTTGGCCAGGGCCCCAGAAGAAACACATAGAAGAGACCTATGTTCAACCTGCAGCAGGAGCTGAACCAGTTAAACTGCAGCATGAAGCAGAGCCACCAGCCGAGATAACCCCAACCAGTCAACCTCCAGCCAAGTCAACAGAAACATAGCAGGAATAAACGACTGACACTGTGAGACCCTGAATTCTGGGATGTTTGTTATGCAGCCGTGTGGCGACAGCTGACTGATACAGACGGCTTCCGCAAAGGGAATTCATAAGCCACTTAAAGACTGCTTTTCCCTCCAAAGTTATAAAGAAATCAGAGCTACTCACCAGGCTCACCTTTCTTCTTAGACCCAGACTTCTTCTTCACAGGAGCTTCTTGCTTTTGTGCCTCCTGGCTCTGGACCATATCTGCATTTTTGCCCTGGATAGGAGCTGACTCTGCCTTTTTACCCTGGTTGGCAGATGCATCCACCTTTTTGCCCTGGTTGGGGGACCCTTCTGACTTTCTGCCCTGATTCAAGGTTCCCTCTGCCTTTTTGCCTTGATTGGTGGCCCCTTCTGCTTTTTTCCCCTGGTTTGCAACACCCTCCGCCTTTGTGCCCTGATTAGCAACTGAATCTGCCTTTTTGCCCTGATTCTGGCCCCCCTCCGCTTTCCTGCCCTGGTTGGGGGTTCCCTCTGCCTTTTTACTCTGGTTCTGAACCACTTCTGCCTTCTTGCCCTGGTTTGGGGTACCCTCCTCTTTTTTGCCCTGATTCTGAGCTCCCTCTGCCTTCTTGCCCTGGTTGGGGGTCCCCTCTGCCTTCTTGCCCTGGTTGGGGGTCCCCTCTGCCTTCCTGCCCTGGTTGGGGGTCCCCTCTGCCTTCTTGCCCTGGTTGGGGGTCCCCTCTGTCTTCCTGCCCTGGTTCTGGGCCCCCTCTCCCTTCTTGCCCTGGTTCTGGGCCCCCTCTGCCTTCTTGCCCTGGCTGGGGGTCCCCTCTGTCTTCTTGCCCTGGTTGGGGGCCCCCTCAGTCTTCCTGCCCTGGTTGGGGGCCCCCTCTGCCTTCCTGCCCTGGTTCTGGGCCTCCTCTGTCTTCTTGCCCTGGTTGGGGGCCCCCTCTGCCTTCCTGCCCTGGTTCTGGGCCTCCTCTGTCTTCTTGCCCTGGTTGGGGGCCCCCTCTGCCTTCTTGCCCTGGTTGGGGGTCCCCTCTGTCTTCCTGCCCTGGTTGGGGGCCCCCTCTGTCTTCCTGCCCTGGTTCTGGGCCCCCTCTGCCTTCTTTCCCTGGTTCTGGGTCCCCTCTGTCTTCCTGCCCTGGTTGGGGGCCCCCTCTGCCTTCCTGCCCTGGTTCTGGGCCCCCTCTGCCTTCTTGCCCTGGTTGGGGGCCCCCTCTGCCTTCCTGCCCTGGTTCTGGGCCTCCTCTGTCTTCTTGCCCTGGTTGGGGGCCCCCTCTCCCTTCTTGCCCTGGTTGGGGGCCCCCTCTCCCTTCTTGCCCTGGTTGGGGGCCCCTTCTCCCTTCCTGCCCTGGTTGGGGGCCCCCTCTGCCTTCTTGCCCTGGTTGGGGGTCCCCTCTCCCTTCTTGCCCTGGTTGGGGGCCCCCTCTCCCTTCTTGCCCTGGTTGGGGGCCCCCTCTCCCTTCCTGCCCTGGTTGGGGGCCCCCTCTGCCTTCTTGCCCTGCATAGCACTGGTGGCAGAGGCACTGCCCTTGGCACCCACTGGGGACACAACCACCATAGGGACCTCCTTGGGAGCGGCTTCCAAAATGGCAGCCTTTGAGGCAAGAACCTGGATGGAATTTACTACGGAACTGACTGCTGGTTCCACCTTTGCCCCCTTTTTCTCCTTCCTCTTTTTGTCCTTAGGGGACGAAGCTGGCTTCTCCTGGGGCATGGCTAGCACCGTGGCTACGGGGGGAATGACCGCGGGGGACTGGGCTGCGGCTGGGGCCACTGCCACCGCAGGCGCCCGCACCGCACCCTTGGGGAGGAGGGTCTCGCCGGGGCCCGGCTGGTGGTCAGGTATCTTCCCGTTGGGTTTCTCGTCCTTCTTTCTGGCCTTTCCTTTCTTCTCCACTGTTTTCTCCTTCTTCTTCTTGTCCACCCTCTGGTGGTGAGTCTTCGCCATCTCCCTGCGCTGGTTGGCTAGAGCTTCTTCATACGACGTCTCCTTCATGGAGAACGTCGACACCAGGAAGATGCCGATGGCGGAAACAACCATGAATCCACCAAAGACCACAACCCCCAAGGTCTGGGTGTCGTAAATATCCATCCTGGCTTGCTTTCCTTTCACCTGCCAAATACATACATGTCAATTATTTTTTGTAGAAACTGAGATGTCCAACAAGTGCCAACCCCACCCCTCACACCTGACTTGCGGTTTCACGAATTCTTCAGACTGATAAAGCGAAGGAAGAAACAAACTCAGGCCATCTCCGACGTCACCCATTCTCCCCGCCCCCTTCAGAAGTGAGCAACTCTTACGTAAGATATTCCATTAGTGCCGGGACATACGAAGCCATGGAGAGACAGCAGTGAGGAGCTCAATCATCAGGGCACAGAAACACCCAGGAGACTCAGATGCCATGTTCCCAGTTCACGATGTTCCCCACGGCAGGGGTCAAAGATGCACATGAGCACAAGCACCGGCCAGCTGTGAGACAACTGGGAGTAGTGAGGACTGTGGCAAACTGCCCCACTACATTAGGGCCAGGTGACGCCCAGCCACAGCTGATTACTGTAGACATGCGGGCACCGTGTTGAGAGATCTTTTGCTTTCTCACGTTAGGACGGAAATTTTTTTTTGCTTAACGTGAAGCTGACTGATTTTAAAAATACCATGTGAGTCAAACCAAACACGGCTGCCGGCTCTCAGCCACAGCGTCCAGGCCAGCAGGCCCTGCGAGCCATCTGACTCCGCTGCCTCCATTTCCCCCAGTGCTGATAAACACAACTACCCAGGGCCAAAGATGAGAACCCATGCATTACAATCCGGAAAGGTGATCAAAAGTTGGTGAGGAAAAATGGCCTTTAACCAGTGATAGCTCCGAAGAGCTATGCAACCTGCAAACTTGCACATTAGGAAACAGGAAACACCAGTCTCGGGAAGCCGACCAAGTAAGACTCCAGGTTTGGAATTTCACATCCAGAGGCTGCAAAGAGGGAGGAGGACAGTGTCACCAGGTCCACTCCTCGCCCTGGGGAGGGGACCCTTTGCCTGATGACAAACTCCCAATCAAGAGGATGAACCACCCCTTCTTGCTGGCTGGGGACCAAAGTCCATAGGGTCAGAGGTGGCCAGGTCCACACCCATCAGCTGTCAGCCGGGCAAACTCTGACTTCAGCGAGAAACTCCAACAGGTTCATTTCTTGGATACATTCAACTTTTATCAACTAATTTTGATGCTACTACAATCATATTCCAGTCCCCTGAACTGGGGAGTGAGAAACAGCTCCCCCAGGAGGACCAGCAGTGGCCCGGAGAAGGGAATGCAATGGTGAGGTGGGGGAGGAAGGCAGCAAGGGGAAGAGCTGAACGGCCCCTCGGGTCCCCAGAGCACAGTTTCGCCGTCTTTCTACAGAACCCTTGCGGGAAGAGGGTGGAACGCGCTCTGCTCTCCAAGGTGGTAAGCCCCTCAGCTGCGGCTGTGACACTTACTTCACCCAGACTGTCGCCGGGCCTGCAGCTCCAGGTCAAGCTCCACGTTCCACTCCTCAGGCCCGAGGTGGACTCCTGGGGCAGCGGGTTCTGACCCCGGGCCATGGGTCTGGCAGCGAGATACACAGCCAGGGCCCCTCACACATGACAGTCAGGAGAAATCACCCCACACGAGCCCTTCGGGATCCTCGCAGCCAAGTGTGCAAAAGGCCTGGAGGGGGGTCCCGTGGGCGGGAGGACAGGGACAAGAAGCTGGAACGTTCCAGGCCCCGTTCTAACCCTGCTGCTTGGAGGGCATCCACCAACTGAAACTCCGGGTCCTCACAAGCACCCCTCAGAACTTTGCCAACATGGACACATTTCAGGTACAAAGCAACACCATAATCACTATATCCATCCTATCCAGATGACAAAAACCCTTTGACCTTCTGTACAGCACAGGGAACTCTACTCAATGCTCTGTAATGACCTACATGGGAAAAGAATCTGAAAAAGAATGGATACAAAACTCCTTTGAAACACCCCTTCTCCAGAGGCAGCACCATGCCAGGGGCCCGGGTCACCCTGGCTGAGGGTCCGTAAGCCCCGGGTGGCGTCCCCAACAAGCCCTGGAGGGCGGGTCGCCTGGAGTCCCAGGGCCACCACCCCCACGATGGGCGCCTGCCCCCCACCGTGGGCTCTGCAGATGTGTGGTTTGGTTAGAAAAGCCACAGTTGAAAAGTCAGCTTTGACTCTCAAGTTAGGCAAACATGGGATACAAAAATATCTTCTCTGTCAGGGGCAGAGTGGAGAAAAGCCAGCTGGGAGAGCATTTCCCTCCACAGTGGACAGACGGATATCTGAGTCCATCACAGATGTGTCTTCCCAGCTCTGCAGGACCGCTGCTCCAGTAAGAAATTGCATCCCCGCCACTAACTCCTGAGTAAGAGTTTCTTTGAAAGGACGCTTTCACAGGAAGATGAAAAGCCCTAGATTTGTGGTAACTCAGTGAAACAGTGAAGGCTCAGGACACATCACCATCACCACGGACGGCCAAGAAGTCGAGGTGGAAGCCGCCTTCCCACTGCCCCGCAGAGTCAGCTCCTGCTTGAGAGGCGGGAGTACCACCCGTGCTCACAGGCACAGCAAAGCCAGCGATGCCTCAAGGACGCTCTCAAGGACAGCCTTCAAGGTCGGCCTTCTGGCACTTCGCTTCTGAAATCCCCACCATGGTAAAAGGCCCCCAGCGGGAATCTCCCGCAGGGTTTTCCCAAGGGCCGTGCCCAGGAGGGCAAAGAATCCGGCCAACCGTGCCACTGCATCCTGTGTGGGCTGACCACAAAGAACCTGCACTCTGTCAATCCCGGAAACCTCTATGAAATGTGCACTCTTATTTACTATGGCCAGTCTGCTTAGAGTGCAAAGCAGAAAGGTGAAGGCCTGCCAGGGCAGGGGGCAGGAGACTGCCCAGAGGCTCGGGGACCGCTCCCAGGCTTGGCCGGCTGACACGCCCCGGGCCACCTCGGGGCTCCTCAGAGAATGGCTTTCCTCTGCTCCTGGGAGTAAGGACTCGGGAACAGAAGTTAAGTGGACACCCCGGGCACGGACTACATTTGCTGATTCGTGTGGCCCGACCTAGCTTGTCCAGTCTGGCCAGTTGAGTCCAACTTGGCAATGGGGATTTGGGGACGTTTTGCGAAAAGGACCCTCAACAGCACCCCTGGGGCAGGGTCTCATCACTCTCCAGCTGCTCCTCGGGGGCCACGTGTGGGCACTTGGAAAAGCCACGGCAGGGGAGCGAGACGAAGCCTCCCGACTGAGCCCAAGCCCCATTTCCTGGGCGTTAGGTGACTTACCAGGAAGGCACAATCTAAAACACGACGACAATAAAATGGAGACACTAGCAGATGCGGCTGCATCAGGATCACTGTCTCCTTGTTTTTGTAAATATTATGAAGTATTTCAAATATAAGGAAGATTAAGAAAAATATCGTGAACGTCCATTTACCTACCACCCAGGTTTAGCAAATCCAAACATCTTTCCCCATTTACTTGAGATACGTACATGTAGCATCTCCTCCTTCTCTCCAGAGAATCAATACTCAGAATGCCACCACTTCCACACGCGGGCACGTGTGCTTGCACATGTCCAGCACCGCTACGGTGAGGGCTGCTCCCCCGGGGCAGTGCCGCGGGCCCCGCCCTCTGCGGCCCGCACCATCTCCTCCTGCGCTCACACCCGGATGCGGCCCCATGTGCCTCCCATGGTGAGCTGCCCTTCATGCTGCTTCCACGACGTTGTCTGCTCATACCCTTGGCCCATTTTCTAAAGGGTTGTCTTTTTCCCTCATTTGTAGGTGCCCTTTACATATTTGGATACTAACCATTTGTGTCCAAGTCTGTAGCTTCTTTTTCAACCAATTTTGTTTGAAAAATTGTTTCACTGTTTTGTTTTACAGTGTTTTCTTGTTTCATTGCTACCACCCCAGAGTCAAAGAGAACCTGTTTCCTTTTTCTTATTTTAAGGAAAAATCTGTTGCTATCCTTTAAATCTAAATAATTACTCAGTTGTGCTGGAGAAAGGCAACATATTCCTAGGGGTCAAAACGCAAAAGGAACAAAGGGGTTGATACTGAGTGAAAACCTCCCTTACACCCCTGACTCTCAGCCACCCAGGTTCCAACCACTGGGAGAGAAGTCCTTTCACTGTTTATTTTCTTCTACAAACTTCAGAACACTTTTCATGGTTGGGTTTCTAATCACCTGGGATCTACTCTGGCACAGGACAGGAAATAGGGTCAGCTTCCCCCACGGCTTAAGTTACCCAGCGCCCCTTCCAGACTGGTCCATCCCCCCTACCCCCCGACTGCTACAGCCGCCTCTGTCCCATCTGGTTTGCAGTTCACGTGGATCCCTCACCAGACTCACACTTTGTTCCACCTAAATGTTATTTACGCCCTGCGTCAATACTACATTTTGGTCTATGCATCCCTTGCAAAAATTCTACTGGAACTTTTATTTGAAACACACTGAATTTACAGGTGAACATGGGGAGAGCCGATGCTGTATACTATGGGAGCTGTCGGTGAATGGAGTGTGTAGCACTCCACTTATTTCAATGTTCTTTTATGCTTGCAGGGAGCTTTTATGATCTTCTCTATAGAAGTCTTACACATCTTTTTTGTTGTTGTTGAGGTTATTGCTATTTTTAAATGTACTAGAAAAAGATATCTTTTTCTTTTTCTAGCTACAGACAACCAGCAAAGTTATTCGTTTTTGCACGTGTGTCGTTTACCCAAATATTATGCTAAACTCTCATCAAATCCAGCAGTTTATGGATTCTCTTCAAGAAAAATCACCTATGAAAAGAGAGTAATTTCTTGCTTTCTAAGCCACACCATCGCTTCTCTCTCGTCTCACAGAGCCGGCTCCAGGCTCGCTGGTCTCACGGCCAAGTCTCCACTTCTGATCCTTCACTGTTAGATGCTGTGTTGACTGTAGGCTTTTGGTAGAAACCTTTGTTCAGGTTAAGCTATCTTTTTTTTTTTTTTTTTTTTTTTTTGGGGGCCCCAAGCCCTCTCACTGTTGCAGCCTCTCCCGTAGCGGAGCACAGGCTCCGGACGCGCAGGCTCAGCGGCCATGGCTCACGGGCCCGG